CCCCAAAACCCCAAAACCCCATAGTTTAATAAAATTGCTATTAATTTAATCTATTTGTAAAATAAAATCATTTACTAAATTTAGGTGTGGTAGGTCTTAGAGTATTATAATGATTCTTGGGTGTGACTAAGTCATGGTAAGATTAATCTCCATGACCAACAAAGGACTTAGAAAGTTTATCTATTTCTTAAAGTTTTTTGAAATTATTGTCGTATTTTTCTTGCATTTTTTGAATAAGATTAATGATCTCAGCAGCCTAAGAGCTATCTAAATCCTCAAATTTAATTTCGCTTGCTTAAATAGCATTTCCAAGATTAGTGAGCACTCCCATTTTATTGATTTGCTTTTTCTCCTCGATTTTTTTCTTAATAATTAACTAGATAATCTAAGCGAAACTCATCTTGTTTTTTAATCTTTTGAGATTAGTCAACTTAACAAGGACAGCATTTTTCAATTAGCATGTAAGCATATTTCTCCTATTTTCAAGTTTAGAATCTTTATACTTAGATTAATCCAGAACACTTTTGCATAGAATATAGTCAATGATGAAAGGATTGTCTTTATTTGTTGAAGGAACTTAGTTCTTAATGGCTGTAATTTCTTAATCTAATTTCTAACTCTTCATGCTCAGCTTTTTCATTTAATCAAAAGTCATATAGAATAAAGTTTAAGTTTGACAGCATTTAGCCCTAATATCACTAATGTCACCTACCAAAAAAGCTCTAGGATTTAGAACTGATCCTCTATATAATCTTTCAACAACAAGATAGTGTCCATCAATAGAAATACTTATATCAATTATTCCATTTTTAACTATAAACAGCTTTCTGCTTTTTTCATTCTCTGTGGTCAATAAAGTATCTCTGTCATATGTCTCCTATTTAAAATTGAACAAAATCTCATGAAATATGTCATCATCAAGATTTTGCATGTATGAAATTTTCTTAAGATTACTTTCCATAAATACTTTGATGTCATCATCATATGCAAAAATTTGCTCTTTCATTTCTTGAACAAGTTTGGGGTACTTCATACTTATGTACTTAAAATTCTAAGCACTTAGGGATGCAAGAGTGCAATAATTGCCTGCTATTACAGACGCTGATCTTCTGCAGTTATAGATCAAACTAACTTCCTAAAAGAAAATAAAGCAAAGTGAATATTACTCCAAAATGATCACCTGGGTAAAGTAGTCTGACTCTCTTTACTCCAGAGTCTAGGCCAACTTTATCATTTACAAAAACTTAGCACACTCCTCTTTGGACAAAATACATATTTAACTGATTCTCAGGATCATCAGAGCCTTATTTAATAATTTCATTTTCTGGAGCATGAAGTGAAATCTCTAACTTTTAAACGATATCCTCAAGCATCTACTTAAATTTTTTTTAGTCACTCATCATTTATAACATCTCATTTTACTTAATTGCTATTCTAAATATTTCTTCTTAGACAAGCTTTCTATTGCTTGGGGATATTGTATCAATAAAACTTTAGAATTCTAATTATTCATCTTAAGTACCTGACATTTGAACCATATAATACGCAATCTCCTCTTTCAAGGCTAGACTCAATTCAAGATTTGATATGGCAGTATTTACAACATCCATTTATTTACCGAAAGCTTAATCTTTTTCCTTCATTTGAGCTACAAATCCTGCAATGAGACCAAAAAAGTTTGTTACTATCATAAGAGTAGCAATCATCATCAAAGAAGTGAAGGCAAGTTCACTAGTCTCTGATGGGACTGCCTCACTAATACTGAATAGCATAGCAGAATAGTACATCGTTACCCAGTATGAATAGTTATTAGGTTTTTCAAAAATCAAAGTAGCCTTGTAGATGAAATCCTCATTTGGAATCCAAGTTTTATCAAGTTTAGCTAAGTAAAAAAGAATACAGGTCTAGAAATGTAGGAAATAAATCAAGAATAAGATCATCACACAAACTTTTAAAGCAGCTTTAATGGATTTTGAGACACTAAGTCTGTTTATAAGTTCAGTTACAATACTCACTCTATAGACTTTTGCAGCTCTGATTAAGGTAATAAAATTCCTCTAATCATAAGTAAGTACACTCCAAAGAATCTTACTAAAGGGGATGAACGCTATAATATCTAGATAAGTCTAAAATTCCTTCAATCTCAATTTAGCGACTCTTTAAGGAACAAAAGTTTTCTACCCTGTTTGCTCATCAAAGTATATAGTCCTAAATTTCACAAATATATCAATCAGATATGTGAACATTATGATATAATCGTTAATCTCAATCTGATATGAGTGCGAATAGTATGGACTGAATCCTATTATGTATGGAATATGGAACACATCATATGTTGCCATCACAACTATAAGAATATTCCAGTAAGTTAGAAATCTATTATCTAACTTCAACATTGCATATTTATCTTCATTTTATTCAGCATGGGCAACTTCATTTTATGCTTATTATTACTGTTTATCAGGTTCATCTTTGATAATATTGCCTGAGTGCATTGTCACTTAACTTAGCATACCGGCAGCTTATAACTTGATAAGACTCTTATTTGAAGAATGGTTCTCTTGATTTAGTAGTTCCTAGTAAGATCTATTGCTATAGCTCCCAAGTTCATAAGATCCCAACTAATATATAGGATTTGAACTTCCAAAACTATCTAAGAGTGAGGAGCCTTGATCAAAAGGCACAATATGGTTCATCATATTATAGATATAGCTGGTTTGTGATTCACCTTCCTGTTTAGGGATGTTTGCCTCTGAAATTATGCATTTTTAAATTATTAAAATATCTTACTATAATTCTTCCTCTCTATCAGAAACTTAGATCTGTTTAATCTATGAATTTCCTGTTGTGCCGGGGCAATTTTGTTCTTAGGACCTTGTCTATTATCATTTTCCTGAGCTGCTCCTGTAATAAAGATCTGAGGAGGGACTTTTCTGAGCTAGATTGGAGAAACCTATATTTTTGAGTAAATAAATAAAATACTGGCTCTGAGTTGGGTAATAACTAACGTTTAGCCATCTTTGCTTAATAATTTTTATTAAATTTCAGATAAAAATTATATACCAACCTCTTTTGAAATTTTAATATTCTTTCATATTAGTAGTATTTTCAACTAAAATTCCTGATTGCATTACGGGGTTTTGGGGTTTTGGGG